GCCATGACCCATTCTGGGGACAGGACCCTTCCAGGCCACCTTGAGGGTGCTGGCAGTCTTTGGCTATGGTAGCCTTAGGAAAGTGCCCAGCTCACATCCAACTCATGACCATCCTTGACGAAAAAATGGCCTCACCATTTCTCTAAAGAGCCAAGTTATGATTCACCCAGTACATCCCCCGATAGAAGAGGAAATCAAGAACCAGAGATTCCAGGGGCTTGCCCAATATTAGAGAATAGAGAAACAAGAATTCAGGCCTTCCCAAACCCCAGTACTGTCAAAGCATCCAGGCTTGCTTCTGGTGGTGCTCCTCCTATGCATCTGCATGTCTTCTACCCCTGGGCAGAGCTTGGTATGTTTTTTAATGTGTAAAACCACAATAAATGTATCATCTCTAGAGATAAAAGAACTGGGGGTGGGAATCACATGAGTGTAAAATGTTGGACATCATCTCAATTTTAGAGATTGGCAAACCATTTCTGTAAAGGGCCAGAGAATAAGTTATCTCAGGCTTTGCAGGCCGTATAAATCTCTCACCTCTGCACTGTAGCACTGAAGCAACCATGGACAATATGTAAATAATGTGTGGCTGTGTTCTAACAAAACTTTATTGACAAAAAGAGGCTGCTGGGCAGAGTTGTCCCACAGGCTATAAGGCAATAGTTTGCTTATCACCTTATCTAGAAGATTACATCATTTAATTGGTACACTTTATTAGGAAAAGAGAAAATTAAGAAAATAGTTTTATCTTTCTTGGTCATCATGGTGTTTTGAGTATTTGTAAAATAGGAACACAGTAATTTCTTACCTTTCTAATTACAGATGTTACAGGATTTGTTAGAAGTTCACCATTTTCCTTACAATGTTGGCTTTAAGAAGGGGGAAGCAAGGAAAAGGAACAATGAGAGGGATGATGACTTCTAATATTTCTGTGATTGAGAAGCCAATATTTTAGAAGTTTTCTTTTTATCCAGAGCTAACAAACATTAACTGCTTTAATTTCAATTCATTACTCCATTCTCAAGCTGAGGGTTTACAAGGGAATGAAATTCTCTAACTCAGTTAAACAGAGAGAAGACTGAGAAGTGAAGGGTGAAAACAATTACCTGGAGAAATCTGCACAAGGAAGTAGGAACCGCCTTACTCACATCACTCATCTCCTGGTAGATGAGGATGCAACTGACACTGCCTCCCATCAGAGGCCTACCACGGGAATGCTGTGGCTATTATCTGCTCCCTCTGGGTAATTCAAAGCCATGGCTAGATGAAGCACTCATTCCTTCCACAGAAACCTATTACACCAGCCTCCAAAACCATAGCTCACCAGATCACAATTCCATTCTTTGGTTGGTTCCTCAGCAATTACATGAAGAACATCATGCTCAGCCAGAAGCTCCAGATTTCACGCAGCTCATTCTCTTATTTGCCCCGATCCTCTGCTTCCAACTGAAACCTTAGATACAGGCACAGCCAGTTTAGAGTCGCACAATTATCCAACCCATTTCTGCAAGAGTAAGGGTCACCTTGCTTGCCACATGGTTGCCAAATAATTACTCAAAGTGTCAAAATGGAAGGAGCGGGAAGGGAGAAATACAGAGATTGACACTGGGTCCAGAACTGAAACACCTCCCATTTCCCAAACCATATTTTGGCTCTGCAACCACAAGGCTGCCACTGATGCCTAACACATAAGTCAAGTGTAATATTTCATGACAATAACATCAGAAGAACCCAAATTAAGCCAAAAGTACTGACTGAATTGCTAATCTAGAAATTTCACGTGACCTATTCACCATGTCTAAATGTTTTCTAAAATGAAATGACACGCATAGGCACGGTTCCCAGTTCTGAGCTTAGACTCAACTAAGCACCTTCAATGGCAAGGCCCATAGTTCACGTTACTTCTCCTTCGCCTTTTCCTGCTTTAAAAAAAGTATTAATATTACATGTAGCTTTTGACTGTTTTCAGGTGTGACGCACACCCTCTTCTGGTCAGTTAGGAGAAAAACTGATCACTATCGGGAAAAAATTAGGGAGTGGTACACGTACTGGTTAAAAAGGAAGTATCTGATAACAACTGATGAGGCATCCTCCTTTTCTTTGTGATCACCAAAAAATTCATTTATGAAAATTAGTATCATTACTATTTTCTGGCAGATTAATGTACTTTTTCAGATTCCCTACATGTCACTGTGACACAGTGACAAGGTCTGGGGCTACTTAGGGAAAGAGCGATGAGGTAAGGCCCAATAACTTCAGTCCCCAAGGGCATCTTCAGTCCTCCTGCTCCACATTCCTAAAGACACCTGAAGGCGAAGGAAGCACGTTTGCTTTGCACACCCTAGGCACTTTGCGCCAAGACATAACAAAGTACAGTGACTGGGGCATGGGCTTTCACATGGGCTGGGTTAACATCTCCATGACTCTTCCATCATCTGAAAACTGAGAAATAGGAACCAGAATCTACTTCACAGGATTGTTGTAAGGATTAGATGAGTTAATACTGGGAAAAGACAGTGCCCAGCACAGGGGAACTAATATAAAAAGGTGAAGGAATCTACAGAACCCTCCTCCTAACATCAGGATGGTTTCTGGCTAAATGCCTGGACCCGTGTCACAGATCACACCGACCACCCCAGATGGAGATTTTTATTCTTAACTCCTTCGTGCCGATTTTAAAGCCTTTTCTGGCAACCCCATGTGACCACCAATCAATACTTGAGCTGGACTCTTTTTTCTGTCTTCCACATGTGGGGAAAGTCATGAACTCTTCAAGTATCTCTTCTGAAAGGACAGATTTCATTTCAATAATCATTTTATTAGTACAGAAGAATCCCCACTAGTATTTACATAGTGCAAAAAAGCTGTTATTACCCCCCAAATGTGATGTAACAATTATCCTTCATAGAGCAAAAGATGAAAATCCCTTCATGTTATAACTCACACTAATTTTGCTAGCTTTTTATTAGAGCATTACAATTAAGACATTAAATTATAAACTTATGTGGTATATTTAGAAATTAAATTATAAAATAATACAAATACTTTCAAGGTGTGATGTGCCAACAAAGTTTAAATTTTTCTCATTAGGATTCAGATTTCAGATTAGGCAAACAGTTTGGTTGATTCTGTGATGTATGTAAAGGTTGGAAGGGATGAGGGAGGAGGAAGATGTCTGTAAATAAATTATTTCACAGAATTTTTTTAAATCAAAAAAAGACAAACATTTTTAAATGGGTTAATGTTCTAACCTGTTGGCCCAACATACAGAAAATACATGACAAGGGTGTTTTTTTAAGCAAACAGCAGCTTTACAAACAGTAATACTTCTTTATACATATATTAAAGTAACAATGTGTTAAGATTGAACAGTTGTATGTTAAAGAGTTGAAAATGAATGTAGCATTCACTACTCATCTGCACATTTCAATTCCCACCCCTCCCTCCTCCCCCAGCTTATTTAGAAATCAGACAAGTACATATTTGGATATTAATTTCTCAGTATTTAAACTATGTGAATTCCTTTTGACTAATTCTTTTCGAAATACTGGAATCATATAAAATACCATCTCTGCAAAAACAACCTCCAGTCAAAGCCAGTAAAAACTTCTCAATGTATAACACACATTACTTTTCCATGTTTAGTCAAAAGAAATATATTACATCATTTACAAACATATTTAAACCAAAAATTAAGCTAATATGAACATTTGTCTTTTGAGAAGTAATCTTCACAGCAAACAAACCTACTGAAGCAGAAATCTAACTTTGGAAGTGTAATTCATATTTTAGTTAATATACTTATATACGGAAATAGAAATCTATTATTAATTATTGCCAGTAAAACCACCTCTACACATTAAGAAAAAGAATCACTATGTTTTTTTATTTCTTGTGATGATGAACCCTTACTCTTTCCACTGGATCTCTTTATAGGTCTTCAAAGAGCCAAGCACGCCCACTTCAAAAAATACATAAAACCTTTTCTGATTTTCACAACTCCTCCAAAGTCTGTAATTCAATATTCCAAAATTTAAAGGAAACAAGTTACAAAGACGTGATTAATATTTATTTAAGCATGCTCTCAAAATGGTAACATTGCCTTTACTAATTCTTGGGTTGTCCTCTCGAGGTGACCTGTCTCATACAAAGGCGATGGTGCCTTGGATTTGCTGGCAGAAGAGGTACTGCATATGCGAGAGCATTTACCGAACATAGAAATAAACACTTCTGAAGTCCATAGCAAAATTAAAAGTTACCAGTGTTCTGAAGATTTCCTCAACTTCTCTTTTGATACAAATGTCAAAAATCTAAAACGACAATTCATGTTCAGAAGAGATATAAAATATAAGAAACCTGTGAAAAGCCATCATCTCAAGGTCAAGAGTTATCTGAATCACTGACATCGAGCAAAGGAAATTTACACCATAAAAAGTATGAAAGTTTTGAAATTCACTTTTAAGACTGTCAGTAGTTCAAAACCTCTATCATTTCTTTAAATCAATGAACACTTCCAAATGTGTAGAGACAGTAAGATCTGCCACGTATAAATCCATGAGTACTATTTCAGAGGCTTCATTCCTTACCTGCTGTGTTCCTTTAAGTATTGGATATTTAGTGCCTAGGAAGTCTATACTGGAGAACAGTTTAGACAGGACAGTATAATAATGTCCCCTTTTAGCACAATAATAAAGTTGATTGACTAACATTTTCTACACAGCAATGCTCCTAAACTTTCACAATTCACAAATACTAAATCACCAACCAAGAATCCAATCTCTCCAGTAATTAAATGCCAGCATTATAAAACATCAAAACTAGCACAGTAGTCCCAATGAGTTCAGTAAAGAATCTGCCCAATTCTTCTCTCCTGCCTCTGTGAGGCAAAGCCCTGCCCCAGATAATCAGGGCAGGGAAAATACCCCTTCCTTCTCAGTTGTGTGCCTGCTT